TCACTGAAATAATTTTCTTTATATACAAAATTACAAAGTATGCTAAAAAAATATTTTAGGGCCTGGTGCAGGGGCTCATGCCTGTAATCCCAGTACATGGGGAGGCCGAGGCAGGCGAATCACCTGAGGCCAGGAGTTTAAGATCAGCCTGGCCAACATGGTGAAACTCCATCTCTACTAAAAATATAGAAATTAGCCTGGCATGGCGGTGCATGCCTATAATCCCAGCTACTCAAGGGGCTGAGGGAGGAGAATCACTTGAATCTGGGAGGCGGCGGTTACAGTAAGCCAAGATAGCACCACTGCACTCCAGCCTGGGTGACAGAGCAAGATTTTGTGTCAAAGAACAAAAAAATTGTTTGAATTAGGTAATTTTGAACATACGCTTCTGGCACTGATGGAATAACTGGTCAACGAAATAAGCCTTTACTTGCCCCAACTTCTGTCTTAAAGCAGTTTTCAGATAACAATGCAAGGAAGAGAAATTCAAGCAAAGCACAAGTGGTCTTGCTGAGTTGAGGAGACAAAGTTTGGGGTTGTAAAGATTGGATATGCTTAAATGGTTGAGATTTATGGATTCAACTACCATGGAGGAAAGAGCTACAGAAAGATCTCCAGAAATCTATGTAGATATTACCTTGGCTTTTGGGCTCCATACTAAATTGTGCCTGCTTATGGTGGAACTTAAGAGACTGAGCAATGTATGACTACTGGGGAGCTGTAGCCAAAAAACTCCCAGAGTTCACCCAGAGCTGAGAGACATTTGTGTTCTGACCAGCCAGTGTGGATAGATCTTGTTGATATCCAGAACATTCAGTAGAGATTCTGGAAAAATCAAGCCTTAGTAGTAGGGCTAGAATAGCCCTTAGAATAAAATATAAGATAGAGACCCAACCTAGCAGGCTTATAAACAAGGCTTGAAAGGAATAAGGTGACTGCCATTAACTACTTCACAGAAACCAGACCCCTCAACATTTGACACTCTATAAAAACAGACAACAAAATCTACTCAGCAATTGAATGTCCAGTTTAATCAGAAATTACCATATATGTGAAGATGCAGGAAAATGTAACTCATAATCACAGGTAAATCAGTTAAATAGACCCAGAAATGACAGAAATTATGGAATTAGCAAACACTCTAAAACACCAATTATAACTATTTTTGAAGAGCTAGAGATGAACATATTCAGGAAATAAATGGTATAAGAAAGAACCAGATGAAATTTCTAGAACTTAAGAATACATTTGCTGGTTTTTACAGCAGTAGGTTTGAAACTACAAAAGAAAAGATCAGGGAATTTGAAGACACATCAATGAAAATTATACAAACTGAAGGAAAGGAGGAAAAACAATGAATAACCCATAGGACAGGATAAGCAGATTAACATGAAGGCTGTGGAAGCCCCAGGGTAGTGGGTAGAAAAGAAGGTGATCTATACATTTATGTTCCCCAATTTTGATCAAAATGATAAATCAAAGATCCAAGAAGTACAGAAAGAAGTTCTCGCCAAATAAATACAAAGACAAACCAGAGTAGACAGAGAAAATCTTAAAAACAACCAGAGAAAAACATACAACTGAGAACAAGGAATTTCTGCTGATCTATTATAAGAAACAGCAAGAAGACAATAAAATGAAATTTTTAAAGTATTAGGTAGGGAAACACTGTTAATCCAGAATTCTTTATTCACTGATAAGGATGAAAAAAATATTGTTGCAAAATTCTTTCTTATCTTACACGAAGTGGTATGTGAAGATAGCTATACCTTAAGATGGACTGCGATTAATGATGCATATTGTAAACCCTAGAGTAACAACTTCAAGAATAAGATCTATATTGAATATGGCAACCGAAGAAACAAAATAGAATTCAAAAAATAATCCAGTAGAAAGGAGAAAAAAAGGAAACAAAAATAGATATAACAAATACTTCACATCTTGCACAGAAGTTATCTCAAAATGTATCACATACCTAATCAAAGCTAAAGCTATATAACTTGTACAATATAGTATAATATGTTCATAATTTAGAGGCAAGTAAAGATTTCTTAGGACACCAAAAGCACAAAACACAATAGGAAAAAAATTATGAATTAGACCTTGGTAACCTTAAAAACTTTTGCTTTTCAAAACATCTTTAAAAAAATGCAGACTGGGAGAAAATATATGCAGTTCCATCAAAGGACTTGTACCCATGGTAAATAAAGGACTGATACAACGAATCAGAAGATAACCCATTTTTAAAATGGCCAAAATATTTTAATAATAGATGCTTCATGAAAGATACTACTAGTATGCACAATGGAATAAATGCTTTCATCAGAGAAGTGCAAATTAAAACCACAACTTAATATCCTTCATCTGCTAGAATGGCAAAACATTTAAAAACTGATAATACCAAGTGCTGGAGAGGTTGTGGAACAGCAAGAGCACAGTCATACATTGGTTGTTGGGAGTAAAAATATTATCACTGAAAAAGTTTGGTAGTTTCTTTAAGGTTAAACACAGATTTACTGCAGACCCAAAATTCCACCCTTAGATGTTTACTGAAAAGAAATAAGACTTGTACGTGAATGTTCATCGTGCTTTATTTTTACTAGCACCAGACTACAAACAACCCATGACTAAGTTCATAGATAAACATTGTGGTTTACAATTGAATACTTCTCAGCAGTAAAAAATGAGTGACTTTTACATACAAGATAGATTCATCATAAAAACTTGTGAAATAAATAAGGCAGACACAAAATAGGTACTTTGTAATTCCATTTATATGAAATTCAGCAACAGGCACAACTCGTCTCCAGTAACAGAAAGCAGATCACTAGTTGACTGGGTCTAGGATTGGCAATAGGAAATTGACTACAAAGGGACAGAAGGGAACTTGTCAGCATGGAAGAAATATCCTGTATTATTGTAGTTGTGGTTAGATGAGTGTGTACATTTTTCAAAACTTGTGTCAAAACTTAAAACAGGTGAATTTTACTGTATATGAAATAACCTCTATAAAGTTGACTTTAAAAGTAAAAGAAAGTATTCCCTCTTTTCCCCTATATCAAAAATCATATATTTTAAAGGAGGAGTAATTTTGAACATGTTTTTTTACTGGTAGACTGTGTAAGGGTTGAGCATCCCTAATCCAAAAATATGAAATCCAATATGCTCCAAAATCTGAAACTTTTTGAGCGTCTGTGTGATGCCACAAGTGGAAAATTCCACATCTGATTTCACATGATGAGTCATAATCAAAACTTTGTTCCTTGCACAAATTAAAAATTTTGCATAATATTACCTTCAGGCTACATGTATAAGGTGTATATGAAAAATGAATTTTGTGTTTAGACTTGGGTCTCTTCCCCAGGATATCTCATATATATGCAAATATTCCAAAATCTAAATCTGAAACCTGAAACACTTCTGGTCTCTAGCATTTCAGATAAGAGATACTCAACCTGTAATCTACAGAGAGAGGTGGATCAGCAAAGGTGACTGCTTTGATTTTAAAAGATCTGTACTTAAGAGGTTTTCTTGTTTATAGAGATCTTGTTAGATTAAAGGTAACATCAGTGATAAAGCTGTTTCTTTGATTTGTGTATGGTACATGAAATGTGAAGTCTGTAAGATGTAGGCATTATTCCTTTACTGTAAATGGATGCATGGTCATTAACATGTATGGATTTCAGGTAATGAGTTAGCATGTCTCATATTTGAACCTCTTTCTTTTTCCTTGACTAAATATCAAATTTAGTACTTCTAATTTAGTACAGGCTAAGTATCAAATGAAAGGCTCCTGGTGATATGTTCTAGGTTTCTTTTAGAAGATTCCTTTCTGTAGTTGTTAATTATATTACTCCTGAGATGGCCGGGTGCGTTGGCTCATGCCTGTAATCCCAGCACTTTGGGAGGCGGAATCGGGTAGACTGCTCGAGGTCAGGAGTTCAAGACCAGCCTGGCCAACATGGTGAAACCCTGTCTCTACTAAAATATAAAAATTAGCTGGGTGTGGTGGTGGGGTGCCTGTAGTCCCAGCTACTTGGGAGGCTGAGGCAGGAGAATTGCTTGAACACAGCAGGCAGAGGTTACAGTGAGCCAAGATTATGCCACTGCAGCCTGGGCAACAGAGCAAGATTCTGTCTCAAAAAAAAAAAAAAAAATTACTCCAGAGATGATACTTCATTGTATATTGCTAATTTTAAAGAAACTCGGGTTGTAACTGCAACAAAAGTGACCTAGCTAATGGCAGTTATCATTGTGCTTTCAAAGAATTTGTATTTACAAGTATTTAACCACCAGCAAATATTTGAATTACACTTTTGGTTTAGGTGCTATAAATAAATAAAATCATTTTTTAAGAAAGCATATGGATATAAAAGTAAATACTGTATAAAATACTAAAAACTGTGGAACATAATAAATATAAAAAGACAAAAGGTAGATTGGGAAAAATATTTGCGATAAATGTATGAATGCTGTCTGTGTATATAATACACGTAGATAAGACTTAAAGTAGGGACAGACTATTCACTGGATACTACATACAATCAAAAAACACACAGTAATATTCCACATTGCCAATAATCAATAAATGCACTGAAAAATATTACCAAGGTACTAAATCAGTCATTATTTACAAAAATCAGGAATATTTACTGATATTCCTTCAGTAAACTTATGTCGTTTTTCTACAAAATTAAAAACATTCATCCAAGCCTTATAGCCATTTGTCAGGACGTATTCCCAAAGAATAAAATAGTTAAATGTAAAAAAAGAAACCTTTCTAACAAAGACTCAAAATTCAGAAGACATGAAAGCAAAGGCTGATAAAAGAAATGACAAACTGGGAATACTTGCCACTTGTACCACAAAGGGCTAATCTCTCTAGTATTTAAAATGCCTCTTAAACATGAAAAGAGATTCAGTCTCACTCATAAGACAAAGATACTATTTTTCACCAGGCAGATTGGCAAAAATCTATTGGTTGGTGCAAAAGTAATTGCGGTTTTTGCCATTAAATGTATTTTTCAGCAAAAACTGCAGTTACTTTTGCACCAAACTATAATGTAATAAGTCATTAACACTCAAAAAAATAAAATCATAGCATTACTGTCTGTTGGTTTATTCTGGTATAAAATAGTAAAAACTGACAGAAAAGCCAAGCAGGTTAAAAATAATAATAAAGGTTATAACGTAGGGCCCCAAGCAAGGCTGACTTTATGTTAAGTGCTGGAAAGAATCAAGTTGGTATGGGCAGGCTAGTTTTGGGAAAGCTTCATGAAGAGAGATCACAGGTCTTGGTTTACCGTCAATGGGATGGTCAGACAAAGGTATACCTAGATTGTTAGTATGTTGCCTTATTAGTTTGTAGAATTATTTTTCTTTTATTGGTGTCCATAACTACATGGTTTTATTTATTCATATGCATTACCTGTTTTTAGAACTCAGGAAAAAGCACATTTCAGAGAGAAACTGTGGAAATTTAAACATGAAACATGTTCACCTTATAGCTTTATCAAAGTAATACTTAAGAATGTTAATTACATTTCACTTTTACAAATTCACTATTTTGTTCCTTTTTTGATGACTGTGATATACACATTTTTCTACTAGAGCAGTCTTATGCTTCACTGCACATATGTCTATTTTATTAGATGGCGAGGAAGTGGCCTTGCTATTGGCCCTTGGACAAACTAGTTCCACTAATAAAGTGAATAATCATATACTTTCTGATATTCCTTCAGTAAACTTATGTCCTTTTTCTACAAATAAATTTAACATTTAAATGTATCAAAATACAGTTAATTTGAAGGTTTTTGGCAAATATTTGTACATAAGACCTTCCAGAATCTTAAAATCGCTTATGTAAGTGAAATGCAGATTTTACATTCTTGTATACATTTACTTGTCAAGAAGGTAATTTGTGAGATTAAAAAAAGTTGTGTTATCTCTTGTTAAACCCAGCAGTGATATTTTTCTTCATATAAGGTTTATAAATAAAACTGCTCAAAAGAATAGTGAAAATAAATTCCTTCCCCATACAGAGATCATTTTGATCTGGTCAGTAACTCAACTGTCTTAGATAATAAAACTGTAAAACAAAAACTTTTAAAAAGCAATTTTAAAGATTGTTGCTGGAAAATTAAGTTTTTTAGTTTATATTGAACAGATAGTAATAAGCAAATGTCTCATATTACAGGCAGCTTTTAAAAAAGAAGCAGTGTGTTCTGTTCTAAATATGCTTATGATTGTCACTTAGTAAAAATCTTGTTACTTACCAGTTTATACACAGAACATTATAGGATATAGTCTTTTCATTTAGGAGAAGGTCACCATCATTAATTTTACAACTGATGATTTTATAATAGGTCCTTCTGGTTCTTCATGGTCATTATTGAAGTATAATGCATTGAAGATATGGCCTGTACAAAGGCAGAACAGGGATCTTAATTAGAATTCTGACAAGCCCACTCCAATAAAATGATGAGATTATTTGTAATTGATGTCACAATCAATTACCATTTAGTTTATCATGAGCATTCTAATAGGTCTGGCCTTGGTATTGGCCCCAGGATGTTGCTGAGTGAGTGGTGCCCTGCTTATGCTGTTATTGAGACATAAGGGCACATTTTCAGTCAGCATCCTAATGACCTCTTTTGAAGTCTATTAAATTAATGACCCTGTCACACTGTTTTGATCTCTTATAACCTCAGTTTGGGGTTTGTATAACAAATTAATATTTGGGAAACATATGACAAAAAAAGATAGGTCTTTTAAAAAGTTGAAAGCTTTGTTGTTTAGTAAAAGTTATTTTATTGTGAAAGGAATAAAAGCAAACATGCAATCTTAGGATTTGTATCTATTCTATAAAAGAGAACCTTAGGACATGTCTCCCTACCTCTGAATACATGCTTTTAAATTATAGTACCCAAATTAGGTTTTATTTTTTTTAAGGGCTGCATTTCTTCTCTAATTCTAGGTGCCAATGGGTCATGTTTGGTTAGAAGGTGATAATCTACAGAATTCTACAGACTCCAGGTACTATGGACCTATTCCATATGGACTAATAAGAGGACGAATCTTCTTTAAGGTACCATTTTCTGCTTAAAATGTAAGGTTTATTTTCTGAGCTAGAAAAAAAGTTTCTCTCAAAATGATCTCTGAAAATCTTCAGGCTGTCAGTATACTTAACTGTTGTATTGAATACATTTTATGAACCTGTTGGCCTTAATAGCTATATGCAAAGTATTATTCCCCCATTGCCCCTGCTCCTATAGAGATAATAATAAAACCCATACTACTCTAGCTATAGCCTAAGAAAACTTCAATTTGAATTTCCAAAAGTTCAGTTTTCTCTTGTACAACTCTTTAAAACCATGTTCACATCCTTGGCATATTTTAATGAGCATGTACAGAAGAATGGTCTAGGTTCAAACTACCTATAATGTGTGGATACCCCAGTTGAGTACTGTGAGTCATAGATTTACCGTGAATTTATTATTGTTAGGGAAGATTGTTTTGACTGGCCCCTCCTTTTTATCACAGGCAGTAAGGAGAAAAACACATGAATACATGGAGCTGTTGGATAATTTACAGGATTTCTGTACATTTAAACGGATGCCATATTCAAATACTTTCAACCCCTTAGGTTGAAAGTGTACAGTTAACTCTTATTTGATAGTAGTAAAAGAAAACACAGACCATATATTCATACATATGTATTCACACACCACACACATAATTTTATGTATAATGTTTCAATGTTCCAAACTTTGGAGTTTAAACATATACATATAAGTTTATTTTCTCAAGTCTTTGATGTAGAAAATTTTATTCTTGATTGATGAGTAAGGTGAAGTGTTTATCTGGCATAGAGAAAAGGGACAGATAGCAAAAGGGAATATGATGATACTGTGACATTACTTTCACTAATTGTCTTCAACCTCATTTTGATTTTACAGATTTGGCCTCTGAGTGATTTTGGATTTTTACGTGCCAGCCCTAATAGCCACAGATTTTCTGATGATTAGTAAGCATTTATTCTTTTGACTTGTCTTCTGTTCATGTGAATTTATTACTCCTGTTGAAACCATGTACTTACCAATAAACTATTTGCTATTCAGTCTTAGTTGTTTTTAATTGTTAAATGTAAAGAATAATCAACCCACATGCTGCAGGTTCTGTTCAATATATATGGATAAAAATGTAATCCAAAAGTCATCTAAATTTTATGATGCAAAAATATTTTGGGAGGAGGAACCTGGATGACTATCTCACTTTTGAATTCTTGTTCTGCTACTGTTCTTAAATATGCGTCATACTTTAGCAGCTACATTTACAAGTCAGACTAGTAACTATTCTAAAGTTCCATCTAACAATGCCAGGTTTGATAAAAAGCTGCCAAGCTACATGCTCATCCCACTCATTTGAAATTAAGTAAAATCCCTTAAAGTTATTTAAATGAGTTCTGATTTATACTGTATACAGAATATTAAATACACAGAAAAATACATCTTTAAGGCATATGCCATCTATAGTCGACTATAGTCAGTAATACTTTATAAAATTTCATTTCATCATAGCAGCAGTGCAATGGCTCCTTCTTCATAAATATAAGCATTAAAACTGTATCTTTTGCAATGGCTCCTTCTTCATAAATATAAGCATTAAAACTGTATCTTTTTTTTTTTTTTTTTGAGACGGAGTCTTGTAATCCCAGCACTTTGGGAGGTTGATGTGGGCAGATCGTTTGAGGTCAGGAGTTCGAGACAGGCCTGGCTAACATGATGAAACCCCATCTCTACTAACAAAAATTACTCCAGGCACAGTGGCTCACACCTGTAATCCCAGCAATTTGGGAGGCTGAGGCAGGTAGATCATCTGAGGTCAAGAGTTCAAGACCAGCCTGGCCAACATGGTGAAATCCCATCTCTACTAAAAATACAAAATTTAGCTGGGCATGGTGGTGGGCACCTGTAATCTTGGCTACTCGGGAGGCTGAGGCCAGAGAATCACTTGAACCCAGGAGACGGAGGTTACAGTGAGCCGAGATCATGCACTGTACTCCAGCTGGGTTGACAGCATGAGAAGCCATCTTAGAAAAAGAAATAAAAATTAAAATAAAAAAACCTTCATTTCCTAAATTACATTTAAATTTAACGATGGCAGTGTTTACAAGCTTTGGAAATAAAGGGCCAAGATTGGAGTCAACACTTTCTGTACTTGCCATTTTGTCTTTATTAACTTTGAAATAACTTCATGAATATCCATAACCAGCCCTTCCTTATGGGAGAACTGGTTATGTTATTCACAAAGATTCTAAGTGTACAACAGGCCTATAATTTTAGCAACTAGAAACATTATCTGTTAGATCAGAAACTTAGTAACTATAAAGGAATATGATACCGTTACCCACTTAAAAGAGGAGACATGCTCATATTAGGAAAGAGAAAAATTCTTATTTTGGGTCAAGGAAAAAAATGAATAAAGTTCTCAGATGGGAATTCACCAAATACAATCCAAATCTTTTTTTTTGTGACAACTTATGAATACAAATTATACATAAATAATTATAATCATTCTCTATTAATCTGAGGTGGTCTCTGCTTGATAATTGTATATTTTCTTTGCAAATAATAGGGTTGACAAAAAAAAAATCCATTTCCTTGAATGGATAACGCTCAGTGGCCTCTCATCATGTCTAAATACCACAGTTAAAGCATTTCAAGTTGTGAACAATTTTAGTTATGATGAAGGAGTTCTATAATTAGTGAACATGTATCGCAAGAAATCAGGTTAACTTCTTCTGCTTCATCCTTGGAAACACTGTATTTTCCACCACATCTGCAACTCAGATAAAAAGATTGATCATCTGCAAAATAAAACAAAATAGTGTTTCAAAGACTACTAAGTAACTATATCACTAATACCCTTAAAAAGTGCAGAGTTGATTCAATAGCAATTGTAAAACAAAAGAAAGAAGCTCAGTAAAGATAATGTGTATTTAAAGGAGAACTGGGAAAAGTTTCTTGAAAAGGGCAGTGTTACTAAAAATTATCTACCAAAGAATCTTTCTCTGTAGAGGAGATGGATTGAAGCTATGAATTAAAGTCCAAGGATTTGGGGAGGAGAGGGCATGCTCAGAAGCAACCCATGAAAATTACTTGAAGTTTTCTGTTTTCTTAAAATTCATAAGTTTACATTCAACAATGTATTTGTCTAAAATAGAACAGTGAAGGGAAAAAAAAAAACAGCCCTATCTGTCTCACTGTTAAGGAACATGATGCTTTTGCATGAAATCTATCCTTTAAAGAAAACTAGACTATTTATCAAGTGCAAGATCTGGATACTTTCTCTTCTAATGTCACACTATTTCAAGAATCCTGACTTAAGTCTATAAACACAACACCATGCGTTTTTTTTTTTTTTTTTCCCAAATCCTGTGGGGGTATGTGTGTGTTTCTGTTTGGTGTTTACAAATGATACATGAATCAACAAAATGTTGAAGTGAGATGTTCAAAGGAGGAAGTACATTGCAATACTTAGGCTCCTAATCGTGGAAATTTTAAGTGTATCATTTTCCTGGGAAGTTGAAATGCTTGTGCCCTTTGACTTAAAGAATCTCTGATCTACTGGTCATTCCATTTTACTGTCTCTGAGAAATAACTTTCAAAGAAAAATAACCTAGCAATCACATTATTTTACCACTATCATAATTGATTATTAAAGATAAATAAGTCTCAAAGGACTCCTGATTTCATACAATCAGGTATCTTCATTAAATGATCAAATTTAATTAATATTTAGATCACATCATATGTAGTTTAAAAAACAAAAATTCAATTGTCTTATACCTGCACCCTATCAAGTTCAGCCTTAGAAAAACTGACAATTAAATAAGCCAACTTAATGGGGTTTTTTTAATCAGTAAGGAAAATGAATTCATTCACCTAATCCAGCTTTTTATTCTTTACAATGCCTTTGTTCTCCATAGAGAAACATAATTTAATCTTGAATTCAAAATGCAAATATCTTCCCTGTCTAAACCAACATGTATGTACTAGAGCATGTTTTCAAAGTGAATTTTATTATTAAATTGTCTTAAAATGTACATATTCTAACTATTGATTTTCCTAAGTGAAATCTCCCCTAGTCCCTTGTTTTTTTACCACCTCAGTGAACAATGAGAAAAAATTTGAGTTGACATATGCTTGGTAAATGACACAGAGGACACCATGGGCTACTGGGGAGTTTTGTCATAGATGACTCCAAATGTTAATGTTCACTAAAAAATTCCCATCTTGTTAAAATTTCTGCTTATATTATTTTACCATCAAGCTTTTTTAACCAGGTGATAATTTTTACAGAAATCATTTTAAATACTCTGAATGAAGGCCAACAAAAATGACCAAACTATGAAACAGACTAACTGTAAGGGTAAAGGTTAGCTTCAGTATTTGAACAGCTCACATATGCCTTTTAAGCACAATAAAATGCATCATTTCATACTCTCCTTTGATCAGACAACCCATAGTATGGCTATGTCTATCCTATAGGGTTTGATGAACTTTTCTTCTGTTCTGGATCTTCACCTTCCATAGCTATTCTGAAAATGACCCTAAAAGGATCTTTAAACAAAGTTTTCCTTTCCTAGTTGGTCACACTTTTTATTTAATTTCATCTGCCAAAACTGCTCTTTTCAACTGGAAAAAAAATTTGGCTCAAAATTTCTATGATTCATTTTTAAATATTCCTACAAGAATAATGGTTTCATGTAGCTATTGCTCAGTATTTTCTCTCATGAAAATAAAAATCATTTCCATCTTTACAGTTATAAAAACCCTTAATTTAAATGAGCATCTAATGGTGTCATATACTTTTAAGATTAACTGTATCTGCTTATTACTAATTCATTGGCTATGGATGGGATTCTTCTATATCTTCCTTACTGTCAAGTTTACTTGGGGAGTTTCAGGGACAAAT